TGCAGCGCGGCCTGGAGCGAGAATGCTGCACCCAAGTGGAAATGCCCGGGGGCCTCAGCCTAGGAGCAAAGCTGGGTGAAGTCAGGTGTGGTATGGCGGCCCCGAGTCCGCAGCGCTGGATGACCGAGGTCATCCTGGACACTAACTTAGTGGGCGTTAGCTGTGGCAATTTTGCAAATGCTCCTTTAGAAGTGAGGAAGTCCCCCACTCTGTCTGATTTCTGTGCCTCTACTGAGCTCACTTTTAATCATGAGTGAGCGTGCAATTTTGTCAAATGCTTTTCCTGTACCTACTGTTGTGATCAGGGTATTTTTCCTCTTCAATCTGTTGATGTGATAGATGATTTCAAGTGATTTTAGATGCTAAACTAGGCTTTTGTAACTGCATACATTAACTGACTTTGGTACAGACTGCTTTAAGTTAGAAAATCCTCTCCAGGTATTCAGAACAAATTGCTAAATGGAAGCGCTCCTTATTCTGTATTTTCATATTGAAAAGCGTCATTTTTTCAGGTGCAGTACTTCCTCTACCACGGATCATGGCAGTATCATGGTATCTGTTTTTCTATTATCTGTATCTTGTTTGTTTTGGTGAATGTTACAACAAGAAACAAACTCATTGATTATTCATGTGCACATGTTACTCATTTTAAAGGTAAACTTGAAGGCCTTCTCACCTTGTTCCATTGAATACTGAGCAGGAATCTGTCCCGTGATACCCAAAAGCTCAGATTTTTCCCAGGTTTACATGTGCTATTGTGCTGTCAATATTTATTTGCCAAGTTCCTTTTTCGTTTTTATACAGCATTCAATGCCCTCCTGTTTACACATATATTTACATTTATATTTATATTTATTTATTCATTTGATAGTGGGAATCAAACTCAGGTCCTTGAGTTTTTCAGGCAGGTGCTGTGCCTCTGAGCTATGTCCCCAGCTACAAGTCTTTTCAAAAGTCATAATTCACTAAAGGTTTCAAAAACTTAAATTGTTGACACCTTATTGATTGACTTAAATATTTCTAACTAAATTTCAAAAAAAAAATTCTACTAAAATTTAGAAAGCTCATTTTAAATAAAAACCTCCTGATCCTTAGAGGGGATTCAGCTGATTGGCCAAATAGTTCTTCAAACCTGCAAACATGTTAAAATTCCAGTCAATAAACAAGTGGCAGTAAGGAGTACCACAGGCTGTGTGTGTGTGTGTGTGTGTGTG